GTATTTTTTTCTACAAAGAAAATGCTTTAACAGACGTCTAAGTAACAGTTAAAACTGTAATTTAAAACGGCAGTAATTTAAGAAAGATGACAACTCCATTAGCCAAACCGCATTCGATAGATCTTCACGGCCTGTACTCACACACAGGCATGTGAAATTATATTAAATCCGCTGAATAATCTTTTTTATGAAAGCATTACTCGCCTAATGTGCAATATCACCTTTTTTCTTTCTGGAGGTATAAGACGTGAAGCCAAGTACGGGCGAGAAGAAAACGTGTTCCGGAAATCTAGTGCTCGTAGAAGTTGTTCCTGTTTAAGTGCAGAGAAAAACAAACCCCATTACGATTTTTACATGCAGTGATAACATTTTGTGCTGATCTCACACTTTTTGTGGAGGCGAGGTTATGAAACCCGCTCCGTTTTTTACAGAGAGAAACATGAACTCCTGTTGGGGCCGTGATCCCCGGGCCGGCCCGTTCCCGAGCAGGGAGGCAAATGCGGCACTTCCCAAGGGATGCTCCCCGGGACGGCGCAGGGACGAGGGACAGCGCTCCCGTCCCCAAAAGCACTGCCCACCGCATACCCGGTAGGCACTGACGACAAAGGCGACCCGCTGGCGGGTGGTCTCCGCCGGCTGGAGCGAGTGGGCGGCCGCGGGGAGCGCCGCTTCGTACAGATACTCGGAGCCGCACGGAGACAGCAGCAAGCGGGACCCCTCCGCGTAGTGCACCTCCACCGAGTCGTCCCCGAATAGCACCATCAGCCTTTCCGCCTCCATCGCTCGGAGGCAGAGCCAGAACCGCGGCCGCGCCGCCGTACGGCAGGAACAGCGGGGCGGGGAGACCGCCCCAACTCCGACCAAGCTCCGCCCCAACCCCCCCCACGAGCTCCGCTTGAACTTCCACCGGAACTCCGCCCCCGAGCTCCCGTCGAACTCCGCCTGAACTCCCGCCGGAGCTCCAGCCAAACTCCCCCCGAGCTTCTCCCGATGTGCTGCCGACCTGATCTCTCACCGAGCTCCTCCCCAGCTCACTCCGCCGGTGAGGTAACCGCGCCTTCCTGATCCCTCAGGCAAGATGAGCGCATTCCGTACACACATCTGTAAAATAAGCTTGAGGGAACTGCTCACGGTGTCCTTGTAATTTTTTTTTTCTTAATAAATTTTAAAATTTTTATTTGCTGAAAATGGCGCGGTGAGCCAACACACAGCTCTGTAGCTGGGCGGTAGAAGCCCTTTCTGAACAGAAAGGCCACGACGCCAAAGGACAATTTTAACATGATGACAGTTGCCTTTTTTTATTATTATACACACCTTCCACCCATACCTACAGTTCAATCAAAGCTGTTTAAAGTGGCTTGACAGTTCACAGCTGAGTGACAATTATTATCAACCCCCACTCCCAGCCCTTAGCAAATGGAGTTGAATATCCCCACTAGTCCATATGGTCTCTCTTAGCTCCCTAACCTGCTTAGGGAAGTACAGGTTCCTCAGGTTGACCGACTGCATTCAGTACAATTTTCCATTCTCAACAGCTGTTGTCTCAGCAGAGAGCAGATCAACACCCAGTCAAGTGGCTGCTGACACAGCCATGCATCAAAATACCCTGATTCTATTCCGAATACCCCTTTTTTAATGAGTATTATTCTGTTCAGTAGTTGTCAGAAGCAAGTTTCAAAGTATATATTGGGATTATGAATGAGTTATGAATATTATTATTTATGGATGATGCATTGCATTTTGCTCACAATTTCACTGCCCTGGTTGGAACCCTCAGCATAGGAACTGTGGAAGTAGGTGACACAGGCTGAAGTGGCAAATTAGCAGTTCAGGGTACAGTAGGGTATCTTCCGTGAGTTTTGGCTGGAATGCCATTTTCTGGTCTGGTATCAACTAGATGATTTGGATAACTGGATGATTAGAACTATAATTCAGTCAGAGAGAAGTTGGAAACTTCAGCTGTCAGTAATTCAATGAGTTGTGTGCAGTAGGAAGGAAAAGCAGAATGTGATAAGGAAATAATGTCCCAGTGGAAAATAAAGATTACTATTACAAACCAGACCGAGTGTCACTAACATTCAGTGCCACAACAGATTATTCTATTGAAAAAAGAAAACAACCTAGCTATGTGCAGTTTGTGATACCGCATGTGGTTGGGCCAGTCTTGCTTCTCTCTAATGGTACAATTATTCTCAAACCCAACAGTTAAAACCCAGTGATGTCATCTGTTAAAAAAAAAAAAAGACAAAGGCTACTAGCAAGAACTTCTTTGCAGATTTTAAAGGGAAATACTGAGAACAAGCTGCATTTCTGGATATGAAAATCACACAACAACAAAGCACATGCAAAGCAGCATTCTTGCAGCCCATTTTGAAATTCCTTCAAACAAAGTGTGATTTTCAAATACTAAACATTTTTGCTAAATCATAATAATTTGTCAAGAGTAGGAAATAGTGTGCACACTTTTACTGATCTGCAAAGCCTGGGTCTCATGCTCAAATTTGAATGTGAAGCCTGTTTCTTTTCAGAACCAGTGCTAAAGAATCTTGCTTCACATCTCCCACAAATTTTGCTTTCCATGCTTCTGTGCCTTCACTGATTTACCATTATGCCATTAAGAAAACACATATTTTTAAAAAGTTGTACATTTGCAAGGCATTGTTCAGAAACCAGTAGATAAGAAACACTTTTACACATTGCACTTGAAATTTGTAAATGCTAAAATTCAGGTGAAATAACCTTTAAATCTCTCATGACTTATCTCTATCATACACAGAACAACGGGTGATTAGGAGTGGGCAGACAAGCAGCAAAGGGGATCCTGACAGTGAGAAACCTGCTGCTTTCTTTTGCTCTCTCACATTCACTAGCTTGTAGTGAAGTTCTTTGAGATTTAAGATAAGTGGGAAATACTTGAGTGTTTAATGAAAATATCATCCTGTTTTTTTAATGCAGCAGGACAGCGTTAAAACCAATTTTTCCCTGCTGCAGCAAAGACTGAAAGCACCTACAAAGTTCATATGTACAGACTATAAACTTCTACACTAGTTTGAATGAAAGTCTCACTTTATGATTTTTAATATTTTCAGTGGAGGAAAAACCTTGCATTGCAAACTTGACTTGAGCTGTTCTCTATATATACAGTTCCTGATTTTTTCTACCCCAGGATTTGGCATGCTTTTTATCTACTCATAAAATTACTGTTTCCACAAGCTGACACTACATCTGGAGCTGACAGCTACCTGACAGAAAAAGATGACTCACCACAAATCATGCAAAACTAAAACATGTAAAATGCATGTCCCTTTGAGTCACTGTTACCTTACTGTAAAGCATATATGAATGCTTGTTCCTTGGATTGTAAGTTCTGAATAAAAATAATTTCCACAAGACATCTGCTTGTAAAGCCAGCAGGAAGTCTGACCTGTATTTAGATTAAAAGTTTTGTATGAAAATTGTGCTCAACTTAGAGAATATGTATATGAAAGTCATCTAGTTCTCACATTTCTAGTTTCTGAATTTTAGTCTAAAGACTTTGGAATGCTAATACAGTCTTTCTGAGCATACTGCATTTTGATACATTTTAGTTTTCCAGCAAGAATCAAAACATAATAGACTCTGCAATTGTGTACTTTGAAGAAGAGAAAGGAGTGCTCAGTGAAGGAAAGACAGAAGAAGATAAAATATCATTTTTGTTTTAAAGCAAGAAGACAAGGTAGTAATATTATACCAAAGGAAATAAAGCTAGTTAAATTTTATTTTCCAAAACTCCAACCTAAATAAGTATGTTAAATAAACATCCAGAAAACAGCCACTGCTTACTCTACTAGCAGATGCACAACTTATTTAACCAAACAAATAACAGTGAAATATTATCAGAATTATTTACATGCATATTTACAATGCGTGTTCTTTAGAGTAGCTAACTGTTGGGAAATACTTGTGTTTGGTTTTGGTAACGATTTCTAATCAAGTCTAACCAGCAACAGGTAACAGGAAACACTTCAACTGAGTTTGGCAACAACGACAATGGAGTATCCTAGGAAAACTAACATGATTATATGGAGTCAAAAAAAGAGCAGCTGGCTTCAGAATGTTAACATTTATGAAATATATGAATTTACTCCAAGTACAAAATTAAATCAAACTACATAAAATTAGAAGAATAAAAGAAAGTTACAGGGGAGTTGGGAAAGGTTAGACATGTTAGATACATTACTAGAAAAAAAAGCAAAAGAAAAAAAGCACTGCACATACTCTTGAGAAGCGTGTTTTAGAACATAACTGTATTACTATTACCTTGAAGAACACAACAAATTACAGAATAGTTTTTTCTTGTAGATTTGAAAATAAGCTTATCTGAACCAAGAATCTTGAAAGCACCTCACTTCCAAAATACTGCTTGCTTTTTCACATATCAACATGTAACATATTTATTCCAGGAAAAAAGAAAAGTCCAGACCTCACCCATGTGTGTTTTGAAAGAAGAAGAAAAAGGAAATGAACAAAACAAAAACTCATACACAAAACTTTCAAAAGCCACTTTTCATGATTGTGATATACAGAAAAGAAATTTTCTTTCTTATTTGGATCATACTCTTCTTGGAGGGGAAGTGGAGGAAGTAAATGCAAGACATAGTGTATATGGTAAATAGGATGAGTAAATCCCAATATATACTAAAGCAAACAAGCAAGCAAATTCAGATCATTATTCTTTCCCTTTCTTCCTCAAGGAAGTTTTATGGGACAGTTCCCCATTAAATTTTAATTTCAATTATAACTTTTAAATAATTTTTATTGCAGCCAAAACATTGTTCAAAAAACATTTTTCACAAAATAAACTATGGTATATACACAACATTTTAAGTTACAGGGCATAGGTTTACATTTTTTGGCAGGTTCTGTAAAACAAAATGGAAATTGTGTAACTTTAGTACTTGGAGAAACTCAAGTTTCTCATTTTGGTACAAATGTTTTGTGTCCCCCTTCACTCTAAATGGTTAAATAAACTAACATTAAAACATAACATCTCACTGTTTTCTGTTATGTTCTGATTCTAGACAGAATTTTTCATATGCTTCTTCAATTTCTGGATCCATCTCATCATCAATCTCATCAAAATACCTGAGGGGGGAAAAAATGACCAAAGGTTAACACTTTACATACAGATTTACATACAGATTTTCAGAGCCAACAGATTTTTAGAATTTGTGTAGATGTCAAGAATAAAACATAGCTTTATAAATGACTGTTATTTATGACATTTTCCTAAAGGGAATGAAAAGGAAAAAAAAATAATGGATACTAGGAAAACAAATAAACAGAAACCTCAAAGCAGCAGATATGTTCAAATACCTACAGTGTTTGCCACCTTTTTAGATCATCTTATGCCGCCCAGTTTAAAAGACAGAAGTACCTAAAGTTTCCAACATGACAGAAAATTTAATAATGCATCTGTACTGATCCAATTACAAAAAACCATTATTAATAACATATTAGTGTAATTTTGATTGGTCAACATCCTAGCTCAAAGACAGAATACATTAATATAGAAACACTGCATTCCTGTTTGTTGATATGTAAAAGAAGGACATAGAAAATATGTAAGGAAGTTTTTTCGCTCCAAAGTGATGTGCATTGAGGAAGCAATCTACATATTTGTCATGTGTTCCTTTGTTCTTGTAGAAGTGTAGCCATCAGAAGAAAGGGGCTTCACAAAGAGCCCTCCTCCCTGATGTCATAAGAAATAGCTGACAGAGAATCAGCAGACATTTGTCTAAGCTTTTCTTAAGTCTTCAACAAAGAAGGTTACAGTCACTGTGCTTGAAGGATAGCTCAGTGTGTTCTACATGACACTCTTAGGATTTGCTGTGTTTTTAATGGATGTCTGTGTTCAATTTGCATTTTTCTTCTAAGCAGAGGTCCAAATGGGTCCTTTTTTCCCTTCAGTATGAGCTTGTTGATTTCTGATGACATCTCTAATATATCTTCCAGTTCTTGATGTTCTTTACATTCCCCTCAGCTAGGTACATAATGAAAGTTTTCTAATGTACTAAAAAAATACTGATCCAGGCCTGCACTCTTATCACACATAAAAAAACCACTGAAAATGTTCTTGTGTGTCAAATAATGGTCTGAAATTCTTCTTTAGTGAGCAAAAAGCTCAGAGCAATTTATTTTAGACCATATTTCGTATAATGGTGCCAAACTGGTCAGGCTATATTCTGGTGCCAAAACGTCCGGCTGTATTCTCAACTATTGCTTCCCCTTTTGCCATTAGGTTGCTTTTCTTGCTCTACAGGAATACTGACTAGCCCTCTAATTGAAGGGAACAGTCCTTAGGCTGAAGAGAGAAAGTTAACACTTTCTCCCTTTCAAAGACACTGGAAATTTGGTAATCATCTCTTGCTGGGATGTTCATGCACATCAGTCAAACAAATTTAGTTTGCCTCTCTACAAACACTTGAAGGCTTGGTGCTTCATTTTGCTTGCAAATTTTTTCTTAAGTGCAGAAGTATGTTTGCACATGTGCATAAACATCTGAATTACATCTGAAATGTAATTACCATACTCAGTAGAATAAACATGAAATAGGTTTCAAACTTCTGTGATTAAAAACCAATTTAAACCTGAACAAATACATCCACTGTAGAACTAAGTAACAATTACATTATTTAGTTTCATTTTTGTCATCATTGGAATCCTAAGTCTGAACTATCACTGCATCACAGTAAAAATAAATATTATTTAAAAAATACATCACTAAAAAGGAAAACATACAGCTCTCCAGGTCCTGACAGATCTGCTCCATTTTCTTCATAATATGGAAACAAATCCTCTCTTTCAAGCAGCTCTTGGTATTTTTCTTGATAATCTGGCAAAGTAAAAATGAGACTGAGTAATGTAGAAGACTACTCTGCTAAAATAACAGAAATATATCAAGTTTGAAAATTGGCTGGTTAACGAAATCATAAAAGGCAGGAAGTGTATTAACAGGAAAAGATCCTTCCGCAATGTTTTCTGAGGACACGAATGGATGTCTAAGAATGATGCCCAATTTCCCATAGAATTGTAAAGGTTGTGATAGATGTCTTTACCTCAAATGATGTTGTGCCCTGTTGTGCTCAGATTACACATAAGGAAATCAAGGATTTTGATTTGATTTTGATACTAACAATGGACAAACAAAAGAAGACTTGAATATTTTTGGCTTTCTGGAAAGGTCAGATGCTGTGGATTACTGAACAAGTTCTTCTGACCTATATGAACTCAAATGCACATTTTCCATTTCAAACATCTACCTTCTTTAACACAGAATAAATCCTGTGCTCTACCAGGAATTCAGGCAGAATTTTGTCTTTTAAGCTGAATAGCTTTTAGATTCTTGAAGAGTAACATTTTATGTTCTTCAACAGGCTGTAAACTTAATTACAACTTTTTAAAGAAGAGTGAGAAGACAGGTAAGCTAAACTTCCGCCATACCTGGGTCTGCTGCAGTGAAAGGAACGCCATCAGAAGTGTAAAATGTTGGTTCATTCTAAAAATAAAGTCATCCAGAAAGTTATATGTATTCAGAGAGAAAGAGGCTTGCAGTTGCAAGTAATGCAATTGTCTATTAATCAAACTAAATTCACATGAAATTAAGGAACTGAAATGTCCATATATTCTTACCATAAAATAGTTTGGGTCATTTTCAGGGGTAGCTTCTGCATGTGGAGTTGTTCCATGAACTCTACCCCAGTTACTAGATCGCAGTTCTACTAGTTTCAGAAGCATGTGTTTCACATCTCTGAAATAGAGAAGCACTACCAAAGTTAGAATGTTTTGTGCCAAGCAAGAAATTTTGCTTCTCTTACTGTGCAAATACAGGATAGTTAAATCCATCCAAAAAAACAAGTTCAAGAAGGATAATATTTGGTCCTTTGTGTAGATAATTTTGCATTCAATTTTACAACTGCAAGTCTAGATGCTTTATGTATCAGTAATGAGATATTCAACCTCTTCACTTCCTCTGCTGTTAAGTAGGGAACTCACATGAAAAAGGAAACTGCTGTAATTTTTACTGAGATACCACACCTTGCAATACAAGTTAAAGAACACAATCCTTTTTGATAAAGGATAATACTGGGGAAAAAAGGAAGATTATCTTTGAATTTTATTTTAGTTATCTATTCTATCCTCCTAACTTTAGTCTTCTTCATCATAATGAAATGTTTTAGTCAAAAGTAAGACATAATGCCCCCAGTACATTAGATATCAACACGCATTTAATCCCTAAAATAAAAGAAAATTTCTTCTTCCTTTAAGCTAGTCTATGGAGAAGTGTATCGTTAAAGAATACAGTAAAAAAAACCAGTTATTTTCCCAGCTGAAATTGATACCAAATTGATTTTTGCCTTTTTTTCTTTTATAGATTCTCTATATTCTTTACATGTATATTTATAGCTCCATAGCCTATTACAGTATTTGCAGATAGCATTTTATCTACTATATTACACAGAAAGACAGAAGAAATTCCTCAGCAGCTCCAAGCTGGTGGTGCAGGGTTAGATTATCTGGAAAGCCAAGGCTGAGACCAGCTGTCCCAGACACATTTTCATAAACAAAGTTTAGTTCCTATCTGAGGAGGGGAGGAATTCAGAAAGGGTTGCCCTGGGGTGGAATTATCTCACCACTTATGTCTCTACTTTGGGATCCCTGTCAGTTATGCTAATTTGCTAAACATACAGACATTGTCTACACATTATGCTGGGTGTGCATCTTCAGCTCTTTTCCACCCAGTGAGTTGAGCACCTAAGGATCCTTGTAAGATAAGCCCTTTTTGTCACCTAACTGTGTCTAGCTCATGATTTTAGGACCAGCAAAAAGGCATCAAAATTTGTTTCTTGCTCTACATCTTTGAGGCCTCAGCTTGTGCCATCTATTCTGGTTCCTGAAGCAAAAATTTCCTCATCCTCCTTGTGGGCAGCTCAATTACAACCCACAGATGTTATAAACCACTCTTGGCCTCCCTCCATATGGCAAGAGATCAGTGTTTGAGCCCTCTACAGGTTTTTAGTAAGCTTGCAAGAAGCTGAGGGTGAAGCACAGAAGAATCAGATAACCTCATGCACTCAGGTGGTTTTATGACAATTTCATGATTAGTCAGTCACTAATATATTAGTAATACATTACTCAATCACTCGTTTTTTCCCAGATTAAAGCTAAAACCTTGCCAAAAAGATACACTCTCCAAAAAAAACCAAACAGACAAAAACCAAACCACAAAGTATATTTCATTTTGCCTTTACATTTATAATAATTTGTATCTATTTAATACTGCTACATATTTAGTACTCTTTGTAGCTATTTAAGCCTGTTCAATTCAAAATGAAAAGTATAAACTATGAGATGTTGCCCCTATTTTCCCTTTGTATATACTTGCTTTAAGAGCCTAAAGCACTCACTGAAGATACTGAGATCTAATAGGTTAAAAAACCTAACTGAATAGTGGAACTTGAATCTCTATTAAAAATAAAATACAAAAAAACCCACCTCAAAACAAAATCAACCCAACTGCCAACAGAAGTACCCATTTTTGAACATATCACAGCCAAAAAAGCCACATTACCCTTCAACTGAAAAACACCACTTTTTTTTACATGGAAAATGACCTGCACACACAACACATTAATTTTCATAATTATAAATTTCAAAGATAATTTTTTTGCCCTGTTCATTATAGTTGATGATTTATTCAAGGTGTTCTTTTTCATATAAACAAAACAGTGCACATAAACTTCTCTTCTCACCTGCTACAGTTTGCATCCAACACAACATTTTCAATTCTTTGAATCATTTCCTCCATATCATTCTTTCCTTTTTCTTTCCAGGCATCTTCTAAGACAGAACCTGTCAACTAAAGACAAGGGATTAGTATATTTTTTTTTAATTAGATATCCTTAATAAACAGTCAACTTAAGAGATTCTGTAACAATTCATGACACTTGAACTACCTGATGGCTGACACTCCCAGCTGCCTGTATCTCTTTGCTAAACAGATTAACAGACCTCGTACATAGTTTATTTTAAACTACAGACAGTATAGGAGCTTCATGTCCAATATTTATGTTACCTAGAAGTTCAGAGCCACTTGTTTCATTCTTGAAATACAATTTCGAAACAATTCTTCAGTGACATTGGGCAGATCTTACTTGATTTAAGTACATACTACCATCATTTATTTCCTTTAAATCTTATTTTTGCAGCTGATTCCACCAGTTTACATGACAACAGCAAATACTTTATTGAGCTCTAGAAACACTTCAGTCAACTTGGCCAGCACCACACATGCCAGAGAATTTCTTCTGGGTATATATAAGGGACACCAGAATTATCTGAAGCCAGCCTGAACTTTAATATAGAAAAGTGTATGAGGCTAGAACTGCTGCCAGGAAAGCTTTAGCAGGAGTCAGTCTAGAGCAGCTGTGGATGAAAGCTTTTTACTACAAGAATAGGTACTTCATTACTCAATAATTGTACAGGAGGAGTTAAATCAGAAAAATAATTAGTTTGCCACTAGTAGCAATCTCCTCAGCATAAATACAGGATCAAAAATGCTTGGAATGGTGCTTGATGATACAAAGGATAAAATCCCAAGAGAAAAGCAAGTATATTGGTAAGCATTTGCTTGACATTCATAGTATCCCACAGTGGTCTCACCTTAATCCTGGATAATTAGGTAATAGCATTAAGATTAATTAAAAAAAACCATATTGCACAGCAAACAGAGAAAAACCTGTATCTATCACTCTATAAAATGGAAAAGACAAAAAGAGACATTTATTGCTTCAGTAGTGAAGCTAAGGTTTCATGAGGTAGGCCAGTCTAGCTACGTATATACTCAACATTTGTAGATACTATGTAACATCAGAAAACATTTGCATGAAAAGAGTGTCTGTTCTGTAACACCGTTTAGATATAGCAATCTGTCATAAAACAATTTAGAAGACTGGTTTTCTTCTTTTCTTCTTTACTGCACTGTAAAGCTTCCTGATTTGTGTATTGCTGCTTAAAAAGGTTCTTCAGTGCGCCTTGCCTCAGGGAAGCACTGACAACATAAGGACTGACCACAGGAGTGAATGTGCTCACTGAGCACAATCTCACACTTGCTGTGAAGCAACCTCCTTAAACATCCAAACGTCAAATGAAGGTTTTAAATTACAAAAATCTCTTTTCCCTACTCTATGTTTATGGTATCAAGAGAAACTGTCAGAAATGAAATTCAAGATAGAGCAGGTTGAGAAGCAGTGGACTATGAGGGAAAGGTAAGGAATGAGGAAAAAAACCAAGCCAAACAAAAATCTTCAGGAAAATACTGTTTAGCATTTAACCTTCATTCCTATTTTAAACTGTTTTCCCAACTACAAGTATAATGATACCTAGTGAAGATAAGAGTTTCTCCTACATAGAGGCTAACAATTTTACAGGAAAAGCTATGGGTTATGAGCAAAGAGGTTTATTTTCCACATGAAAGAGAAATCTCTATATTTCTACAATAGTAATAACATAGCACAGAAGGAAGAAAGAGATATTAAGAACCTTTTGCCACAAAAAGTGGTGGACCCCAATGGCCAGGTGTCCTTCAGAACACAGAGCATACCTAAGATATCACAATTCATTCAGACATGTTACAGTTTTCTCCTACACCAGAAGCAGCAAAATGAGATCTAGAGGAAAAATTTATTTGTTGGCACCTCAACTTCAGTTCTATTGCTCATTTGTACACAAATGGCCTTGAATTTATTTTTAGAGCATCTTGTTACTTTTTTTGTTGGCTCAATTTCCTAATGGTACTAAGGAAAACAAAAATAGTAGTTTGCTCTGCTAATGCTATAATGCATAAATCCCTGTAAATACTTTCTCATTTGCAATTTAGCCAACTATTCCCTATATTAAAGCTAGGCAGTTTAAAAAACAGGATTTTTTTCCTTTTAAAACTACTGTCTCACCTTCAGCAGTTTCACTGCACATATCAAATTACTGTCCACAGGATTAGAGAAGAGCGCATTCAGTAATTCCCGAAGGCCTTCTTGAAGAATTTCTGCCCGTGTAACCTGTCCCTTTGTTCCCTTAATCTGCAAAACATATAAGAAACCCCCCAATATTTAAAATGCTTAGAAATTAATTTGGGCACATTTTCTCTCTTGAATGCTGTATTATTTGGTTTGTGATCAATATAGTTGACATCTATATGCCAAATACTGTAACCATTTTAGAACACAGACTTTTATGGAATCACAGCATGGTTTGGATTGGAAGGGACTTTAAATATCATTCAGGTCATCAACTACTTTAATCTGCTGGCCATACATCTTCTGATGCATGTTATGCTGAGGTCCTCATCCACCAACACCCAAAACCCTTCTCAGCAGAGCTGCTTCTGACTGATTGTCCATCCAGCCTGTATTTGTGCCTGGCCCAGATGAGTACTTGCACTTGACCTTGTTTGCATGGTCCCACCTCGCAAGCCTGTCTTGGTCCCTCTGGGAGGCATCCCTTTCTGCCAGCACATGGACTACACCACACAGCTCAGTGTCAGTGGAAAACTTACTGAGTAATTTCCTTGCAATTCTGGCATAACAATTTAGGTCTAGAATTTTGTTTCTCTGCTAAAATAAGAAAAGCTACCAAGTGCCTGCCTAATGGTCCAAAAATTACCAAATTCCCAGAACCTCATGCTCTTTTCCACACTGCATTGCCTATTCTCTACAGCAGTGGTAGCCTGGTTCTAGAAAGCAGTCTTTATATAACTAAAAAATTACAGACAATGGTTTAAAACCAAAAGGTATCGTCCAATGGCTATCGTATACTCCACAAACGGACAACTTCCCCTGTCTTAAAGTCTTTGAAAATCTTCATTGTTTTCATCTAGCAAGTGAAAAGTAGATTTCAAGGACCACTTATGGTCCAGAAATGGAAGAGTTAGAGAAGGATCTTCCTTATGCCAGCCGAACATTTTTATATTGTTTGCTTAAATCAAACCACTGAAACAATCAAGTTATATGTGTATTTTTAACTACGCTACAGCAGGAAGTGAACTTGGTGAATGCATAGGCATAAAAATAAAAAAAAAATTGTACCCATTTTTGAACATATCACAGATGCATGAAGTTGCTAAATACAAGTTTGCATGCACCAATGACTCAACAATCAGAAGAAGTACCTTTAAAAGTGTGCATTTTTAATTCCTCATTTTGAGGATTTTCACATCTGCCTCAGGTGTTTGTTAACACCTCTTATTAGCACCTGAATACTGAAAAAAATTACATGTTTTTCATCCTGATCTGCTTCTGCTAGGCATTTAATAACATTTAATATATTGCTTAAGTATAGCCATCTAGGGGTTTTGCCAGTAAAAAAGAAAATAAAAGCTTCATTTCAAAGATGTTTGTGGTTGGCTCTTCCCACAAATACTTACACTTTCATTTTTATACATTTCTAATAATCTTGTCCTTTTTTGTTTATGTATTTTTTGGACATATCCATCATAATGAAACTGTTCTAAAGTTCTTTTACTTTACTGCCCTCTGCCTTTGGAAAAACACCTCAAATTATAGTCCACTTCAGTGTTTACCTACACACACAAAAAAATGTATGAAGAGCCACATGACAGCCGACCTTCTTCTTACCTCTAAGTTAAGATAAAGTTCAGCTAAGAACAGCACAAAGGCATGAAATTGTTTTCTAGTAGTCTCATCCCCTTTAGTAGCTTCATCTCTGTTTTCATACTCTGTTCGACACCTGTAAAAATCAAAGCACAATTACACCATCTGTAGCCATTCCAACAAATGTAACATGCTACTCATTTAAAGGAATGCTGAGAACTTATGAACTGCATGAAAACTGTTACATGCTGAAAGCTGGGATCTATGATCTGTGAAGGGAATAAAAGGCCTTCACAAAGAAACGGTGGATTTGCATCCTTTTAGAGAAACACATATGATTACACGATTAGGTCTTTAAGCACTGAGATAACTGATGCAGCAAAATTAAATAGAACAACTTACAACATGTAGAAATTAATAGTTACACAATTTTTACAACTGAATATGGGTCCAGGATGTGCAACAGTAATACAGGGAGCCAACGCCCAAAGAAATGAAGTAGACACGTTCCCCTCTTCAGGGTGCTTACCACATTGTCTTAGATGCCTTTACACTTATTTCATTAATTATTTATCTTGCCGTGTTGAGTGACAGTAATACATAATTCATGACACCCAGCTGAGCGATGTTAAGTGACACTCTAGAGGGAAGGGATGGCAAACAAGAGGGACCCTGACAGGCTTGAGAGGTGGCCTTGTGCAACTCATGAAGTTCTAGTGTAAAGTTCTGCATATGGGTCAAGGCAATCCCAAGCAATAAGAACAGCTTAGGCAGGGAAGTAGTTGAAAGCAGTCCTGCCAATAAGGGCTTGGGGGTGTGATGAGAAGATCAATATGACAGTGCATGCTTGAAGCCCAGAAAGCCAACTGTATCCTGCATCAGAGCCCCATGGGCAGCAGGGGAGGGAGGGGATTCTGCCCCTCTGCTCTGCTGAGACCCACCTGAAGCACTGCATCCAGAGCTGGGGTCCACTGAACAGGGAGGATACAAACATATTGAGTGAGACCAGAGGAGGCCACTAAGCTGATCACAGGCCCTGAGCAGCTCTCCTGTGTGCACAGGCTGAGAGAGCTGGGACTGCTCAGCAGGGAGCAGAGAAGGCATCCCTGACACATTGTAGCACTTTCCAGTACCTAAAAGGGACCCCAAAGAGGGCGGGAGAAGGACTTTTCACACAGGCATGTAGTGACAGGACAGAGGGGAATGGATTCATACTAACAGAGGACAGGTTTAGACTAGATGTTAGGAAGAAATTTTTTACTGTGACTGTGGTGAAGCACCGAGACAGGTTCCACACAGAGAAGCTGTGGAGGCCCCATCCCTGTGTTTAAAGCCACGCTGTATGGGGCTCTGAGAAACCTGGTCTAGCAGAAGGTTCTCTCCCCATGGCAGAGGGGTTTGGAACTAGATGATTTTTAAGGCCTCTTCCAACCCAATAGTTCTATGATTCTGTAATTTAAATATAAATACAACAATAGGATTAACATACTATGGCAGTGAAGTAATTTTTCTAGTATTTAGCAACTGTGCCAAACCACACAAGTTTACATAACAGTACAAAAACAAAATTAAAAATATTTGAGATAAAAGGAAACCCACACAAATTTTAACATATTCTGAATGATTGTGCAATGGGTTGAAAAAAAGTAGAGAAAATCTGGAAAATCTTAAGAATTGAAATACAAAGTTTCAGGTAGAGACTTAGTTGAGAAACAGAAGATGACCTCTCTGCAGTCACATTATTAGGTTGTTTATCTGCACACACCCTCCCCACTCTCAATTTCATCCCTATTAGCAAGCAAAACATAAGCAACTTTAAACTAATATCTGGTGCTAACATTAATGTTATCAATTGGGTTTGCTTCAAAACCAAGAAGCAAAAAATGCAACATTAACAGGGAATTCTTTTTGTGTTCAAGTAACAAAGTAACACACAGTTAAAAAAAACATAAGCAATGACTTCGGAAAGAAAGAATAAAACAAAATAAACAAACAACAACAATAAAAAAAGGAAAACAACAACCAAAAAAAGAGAGAAAAATTAGTGTTTTCAGCTTCTGCAGTCCCTGGTTTTAGCTTTTGCCTCAGTGTTTGCACTACATTTTCTGCTTCTCACTCCAGCCCACCAGCAAGGAGGCTGGGGTGAAGCTGAGGGGAGACACCACTGGCCCCACACTGACCCCACAGATATTCCATCCCATGTGCCCTCATGCTTAGCATACAAACCAGGGAGAAAGCTGCTGGAGGCTGCTGCTCAGGAACTCTCAGGGCATTGTGGGTGGTGAGCAATTGCATGGTGTGCCTCTTGTTTTCTATATGCTAATTCTTTTATCACTGTTATTATATCCACATCCTTTTCTGTCCTAATAAAATATCTTTATCTCAACCCGTGACCTGTTCCCAAATCTCTTGCCTATCTCATTGGGAGGGTGGGGGAAGTGAGTGAGGGGCTGAAAGGTGTTTAGCTACCTGCCAGGTTAAACCACAACATTCCACTCATGATAAAAGACCATTGGAATGCACTACAGTAAGTTTACCACACTTTTGCTGGATTAAGTAAAAACTTTTCAAATAACAGGCAAACCTGAAGCTTAGAATGCTGTTCTTTAAACAAAAAGCTGTCTTTAAAAAAAATCAAAAGGTAAATTTCTAAAGAATTCTGAAGTGTCTAAAACAGTACTCCTTCAAATGTCATGCAGTAATATTTGAGAGGATATATAGCAATTGAAAAATGTTGCATTTTTGTTAACTACAAAGTCTAATTATTATTAAGTGCAGTCCCCAGAAATTTGCAACAACTGAAACTGAAAAAAAATTATCCTTCTGGATTTTATACAACTATTTCCTAGATACAAAGTCAGTTAGCCTATCAGTGAATAAACCTTACACAGCAATTCCAGGCAAAAATCCAAAGCACTAATGAAAAAACCACAATTAAGTAAGTACTGGCAAGAGTCAAAGGACAAGGACAGTACCTATGTGTGCATTTAGTATATTTTTAAAATAGATTTATTATACTTTTAAATAAATAGATTTAGTATACTTTTAAAATAGATTAACTTTCCAATTTGCACTATTTTGGGGATCAGCCTAATATATTCAGTTCAAAAGATCACACAGACCTTCAAATGGAGCCCTATTTTTGTATTTAAAAATATTAAAATATTTTAAGTACTCAGCGTGTACCTGTATTTTGATACTCCTCAATCTGTAATATTTTAAATAAGTATCTCTTCGTATGCAACAGAAGGAGTTAACACACATACCAGAAAGATGTAACTGAAGAGAATAAGGCTTAAACTGACTGATACTGACCTTTGAAGCAGCAACTGTCGGAAGTTCCCACTTTGTGGACTAATGGTTAGGTGGTGAGACAGATAGTTACACAACCGGGCTCCCATGTATGAAAAGTTTGGGACAGATGTGGCCTTCCAAAATAAAAATGGAAAAATAAATTATTTATAAAAGTAATGATTAGGCTCAGAAAATATTTTTAAAAGCTTTTTTGAAATCCATGCTTAATGTTGATCGTACTACTCATGAGCAGAAAATTAATGATTAATAATTACTATTTGCCATGTTCACTTTTGTATTGCTTCAGCATGTTGATATATGCACTTCAGCAGAACTTAAAAGTTCATTACACTGTAATTCTAGGCTCTAAGAAAACAACCACCATTATGCCATGTGTTTTCATACAACTCTACCTCTGCACTGTGACCTACAACTGAAGAGTGTCTCAAAGCCACTTACAGACTGCTTATACAAAAAAATCAACAGTGGTCATTAAGACACTTTTTCAAGAACACATACTCTCTCAAGGAACAATGAGTACATTCAAACAACATCATAAAAAGTGGTCTTCTTTCAGTCTATAAGCTATTTATTCCATAATCTCTTTTTGTCATGGTTAATATCCAAGGAAAGAGTGTAAGAACATGGCAAGTAAAGAAAAATACTTTCTCCCATACATCCTCCAGCAATCTGCAGAATTGCAAACTTCTGAATCAGAGAGTAAGACTAGACCATTACAAGTAACACTCTCAATGTAGCCTTTTTTTGCTAAAACAAGTCCTGTTACTGTTGAACATCTACACCTTTGTCATGCAAAAAAACATGGTAGGAATGCCATTGTGTAAAAAATCTTCTATTTTAATCTGATAACTCAAACTTTAAAGAGGTGGAAATTTATTTTGTTCACTGATTGTCAAGCCTCCTCTAACAACATCTGAATTTCAGATTATTTCTCAGATTTCTCAATTTTTTCTCAATTATTTCACTGAAATTATTTCTCAATTTCAGTGAAAAGAGGTTCTGCTGCAAATAACTTCACCTGCTCTGTCCAAAAGAAAATGAGGATACTAAGAACTCAGTAAACTTCGCCTTTGGTGTTATAATCTTTGAATATTTTTTTGCATCTTGATCATCTATCAGTGCTACAGATATGTTTGCATGCTTGAGCTGTTCCAACACGTTTGAAAAAAAACACGTTGGAACATTTTTTTCTGTTGGAACCGAAAAAAAAGGTCTTGCTAATGCAATTATACCTAGCTACCTCTCAGAGGTAGAGAAAAAGACATAATTCTTCTACATGCATAGAGTTGCTGGAAAAAAAAATTAAGTGTCTCTGGAAAATACAACAAGTTTAAGTAATTAAGATAGACAAATGGAATTCACTTTCCAGTAAGGGGCATGTGAACTACCAAAAAAGACTTTGATGCTGTGGTTCAATCAGTCGCTCTGACTAGAAAAGGTACCCCTTTCTTTATAAAGTGAGCCTTTTCAATACTTTTTCCTAACAAAAAAACTCCAACCCAACAAACCCCCAGCAAATGAAAACTTTAACATCCAAACACATACACAAATTCTTCGAATCTCAGTTGTATTTTTTAAACATTATCTTCCTTATTAAGTTGGTCTTACTTGTGGTTGCACCAAACATTGAAATAACTAAATTTTACGTATTATGATCTGGTGTAGCACACACCGACAAAAAAAAATCTTCCTAATAATCAATCATTACACTGCAAAATCATATTCTTGTAACAATTATTGTTGGTTGTGGTAGTTTGACCAGGAAGAAGTGGAAATTCTGGGATGCTGTGGTCAAACCAATGGGTGCTCAGACTTTGATATTGGCACCTGATGTGGCCAGTGGGGTTCGGACACGCCTCCGAGAACACACAGGGGTTAAAAACCAGAGCTGCGGCCCTGGGAGGATCTCTTGGGACTTCGAGGGAAAGAGGTCGGATCTCCCTCCCCCCCCCCGCCCCCGGTCCGGTAGGCCTGGGCCTGGACAGAGATGGGAGGTGAGGAGGCCCTTGAGGATGGAAGGGTGGAGGAGCCCCAGGAGACATCGGGCAGCCACCCCCCTTCCCCCACCCCTCCCAGGAGAGAGAGAGAGAGGGAGAGCCGGCGATGACGGAATGTGATAGCAGCCGGCCAAGGAGGAGAAGGGGGGGAGTGCGGCGAGAAGGTGCCCAGCCGGAGCAGCAGCAAGTGTGGGAGTGCTGGAGCTCTGGGACAGGCAGAGACTGAAATTTTTAACCCCTTTCTTTCATGATTGGGACCTCGCAAAAATGCCGATCCTCCTCGGAGCTGAGTAAGAAGAGAGATAAGAGATGAGATAACAAGGACCTGGCCTGAGGGAAGTGGAGAAGACTGGCTGAGTGGGGAGAGAGATGATTGGAGTGGCCTTTTGGCTGGACTTTTCTTGTTGGCCATAGACTGAACCAGTTTTATTCCTGTGACACACAGACTGCATTTAGGGGGAGGCAGTGCCTCAGAACCAGGAGGGTTCAGTGTGGGTACCCCTCGGCCCCAGGGGGTGGGAAAAAATGGGGGGGACAGATGTCCCGAAGGAGAGACTGTGCCTTTTGGAGTGAGACAAGGCATCCTTGAAAGACAGCCCTAAAAGCAGCTCTGGTCCATGCACGGTGGTGAGAGCACTGGGCATGGAAGGAAGGTGTCACAAGCGGCAAAAGGACTTTCTGGGCGGTGCTGAGTGACATGGAAACACACGAGGTTACAACGTGTTTCCAGCGGAAGCCTATGGTGCAAGAAAGACTCCTCTCCTCTTCATGAACTGAGGATTGAGTATTCTAAAGGGTGGTGCCAGACTGGGCAGTTGGTGATTTGGGGGAATGTATCGGATTGGGAAATTTTGGTGGTGGGGAGGAGGAAAGTGCTTTTTGTAAGGTTTTCAAATTTTTCCCTTATAGTTTTTTTCCTTCTTTTCTTGTAGTTTAGTTAATAAAGTTCTCTTTATTTCTAAGCTGGAGCCTGCTTTGCTTATTCCTGGTCACATCTCACAGCAGACACCAGGGAGAGGGTATTCTCATGGGGGCAGTGGCTCTGTGCCAGGCCCAAACCATGACACTGGTAATACCACTTTATCTCCAATTCAAAAAAGTCACAATCTAAGCATGAAGGCTAATCTACCAACACATATCTTGGGAAACTGTAGTTGTTCTAACAGGAACAATCCACTGCATTAACTAGACAACAGTAAAGGTTCTTAAACTATGAATTCAGTGTCCAACTTTTGGAAGACTGTCACAAAAGAACTGTCACTTCACTCTGTTCAGACATAAATAAGATGATAAGTATATAATTACGATTTATAGACAGGCTAAGATACCTTACATAGAAGTGATGGGAAGACCCTACAGGACATGGGTTTATTACATTTCAGTAATTTCCTTAACCTAGCATCTGTAAATCTAGTTAGTTGGGTCAAATTTGTATCACTGAAGCAGATGCTTATAAGTTACAGCAATTTTAATTGTTTTGTGAAAAAACAGGAGACAAATGCTTCTTCTCTGCTCAAGAAAGAAAAATAGTAAGTATAGTTGGCTTTGCTTAGACACTATGCTAGCCTGATACATAAGATATCTAAAATCAGATGCTTGTGGATATTAACACAGCTTTTCAGCATTAAGATTTATTTTTCATGTAACTTTTTAATGTAAAATTTTCAGACTAACGTTGAAGTCCTGAGCTGAGGAAGTCACAGTAAACCCCAATGCTTTGCTTTTAAAGGGGGACAGAGAGGAAGAGGTAACATTAAAGACTTCTATTAAATGCAAGTCAGTGTATTTAAAATATAGGAAGTTAAAAATAGCATAAAATCCTCTTTTTTCCGTTCCAATAAATTATCCTCTGTGGGTTCAAATAAAGAAGGGTAAAATGATGCTGCCTAATGCAGCACAGGTGATCATCATGTCTAACTAAACTGATCTCAATTAAATTTGCATTAATTCTGTATAATAATGAGAAACTTGAGATTCTACAGTTCTGTACAATGGCCAACCAGTCATTCCACTTCTACATACACCAGATTAAAATATTCTGCAGGTATCTTCACTTAAGTAAAAGTCTGCTTTCTTACTTTTATTCAAGGTAGAACTTGTAAGCAACAAACCTATGAAAGGTTTGTTGGGATAACAACAAATAATGAAGAGCCAGCCAGAAGCATGGCTTCCTTTTCTGCAGCGAGCCCAAAAGACAGTAACAGCAGCTCATTTGCTAAGCAACACATATTAAGCTGTTCTTTCCAATGGCTCCCCCAATTAGTGCAGAGTTCAGCTCAAGGTCTCTGTCCTCATTTCCACGGCCATCAATGGGGCTGGACCTAGTTACCCTTACAGGAGCTTTCCTTTTCTCCAATTATGCTGTTCTGAAATAGGTATATGTCAAATAAAGAAAAAGCCTGGCAGAAAGGAGGTATTTCCCAAAAGATGGTGTGCACAGTAGGTATGAATTTAATTTTTTTAAATACCTAGGAATTAAAAGTGTCTTAGGACTATGAAGATTTTTTTTTTTGCACAAGATAATAAAAGTGTACAATATTGTATAAGTTTCTTCAATCTTTACTAACAAAAATAAAAATACTTTAATTAAGTAGCATAATTTCAATTATAGTATGCTACCCAGGAGAAACAAACATAGAACAAAGGAAACAGCAAACTGGGAAAATGTATACAATTTAGGCATCCGAAATCTGAGCTACCATTTCAATTTACTGAGCAAAATCCTTCCCTATATATTTCAGTCTAAAGGGGAAAAATATCAATCATTAAATTACTACATTGATACAATAATGTACCAAATACTGGAATGCCTATCTTGGACACTGGGTAACTGAGGCATAATGTCCATCTTGTAATACATTACCTGCTGATAGATGAGTTCAACAAGCTCTTGTAAAGCTTCATCTGCAATAACCCAGCCATTCAGTGTTTCAGCAAACTGTTCTATTTCCGTTTCAAAACAACCTGGCTGTTCCGTGAGGTGATTTAGGAAGTCTTGTACATATTCTGCCAGAGTCAGATAGCCATCACATCTATCTTCAAAGGAAGAATCCTGTAGAAGTGAAAGAATATGCCAACTCCTTAAAAACAACCTTGCAGAATTGTTACACCTTCTGTCTCCAGAAATAACCATACAGCCTTGAGTTTTGAGTCTCTGTATACTGGACTACACAGTTCACTTCAACATTTTTACAGAGCATAGACCCCCAACACCTCCTGGAGTACAGACTTCAGAAACCTCCAATCACCTTAAGAACCAGGCAAAGTATTTTTACAGACATTAGGGTCTCCCAGTAAAATACATGAAAAATGGATTAAAAAGAAATAAGTTTCCCAAGTTGGTTACAAGATTAACTAAAAAACCAAGTTTAATCTGTTAAGGGTAGAACTACCCAACTGAGGCTCAACACCCATTCCTGGTACTGTACTGTGGATTTATGAACCGTAGAAGTAAAAAGAAGGGAAAATTTGAAACAAAGTATTTTGGGCTTAGATAGTGTGTATAATGCTCCAAAAATATGCAGAAGTTAAGAGTAATTAGAGAAATACAATAAATACATAGTACTGTTCCCATGTAAGAAGTATAATCAGGAAAACTGCTATTTTAAAGTCAGAGTATTTTTATCTCTTGGCAAAAGATTAAAGATTATGAGGCATGAAATGAAGCTATTCAAATTGAATTGCATTAATTTACAGCCACTGAGGTTTAAAACCAGACAAGACAGTAAACACAACTGCTCTCTAAACAGAGAAGGGGCTACCCAGTACCACTTTATTGATATTTATGCTACCACTGATGAAACACAATTTTTGTCCGTTCAGAAATGAATCTATGTGAGAGTACCTAAAGTAAACACTGTTCCAGATGATTATAATGCAGGCATATCAAGAGAACAGAAAAGAAAGTAGCATCCTTCGTGATGTCACTAGTAGTAACACAGTCCAAATAAATAACTTTGTCACACTACACAACAGGTTGTGTAAATCACCTCATATATTTCAGAAAAGCAAGCAGGAGCCTGAATAGGCACTTCTAAAAAATATGACTTACAATTAGCAATTCAAGACATAAGAGTAATGTAAAGAAAATCAGAATTCTCAACTATTCCACCATTTAAAAATGCTTAAAGGGTATCCACGGCAAAGCTGAGCTAAAATAAAGCACTTTTTCTTTACTTAATGTACATAAATATATTAACAAGGGTTGTAACTATATTGTCCCCCTCCCATTCTACTCCCTTAATAGGGATTTTTAATTTCTTTGTCTTCTAAATGCCTATCTCTCCTCTACTGAGAAGCAATGTGGATCTGTGAAAAATTTCTTGCTGGGTATGAGCTATGAGAAAGACAAGATACACATTGTTGAAAATCACGTCCTGATATTTATTGCATGACTTGTGAAGAATGTGTGGGTAAAAAAGCAGACTTTCCAAAATCATTCAGACATGTCGTAAGTTAGTGAGGTGGGACATACATCAGTGTAACAGAGGTAAAATATATTTACTTAGAAGATATGCCAGTTAATAACACTAAATGCTAAATAACTTAATGTTGCCCACCAGAAACATGAAAAAATATGGGTTTATGGAAATAAAGGAAAATTATTACTACATAAAGCCTTTGACAACCTGAGGATTGGAGCATGGGCACTTCAAAGGTCCTTTCTAAGCTAGAGTTTTCTATGATTCTAATGGCTTGGAGCTTACAAATCCAAAAAGTAAAGGCTAACAGGCCTACGTGTGACTTGCTACATACTCTGCTTCACTAAAGAAAATCAACATTTATAAGGCAATTTCAAACAGGCCAGTAGGAGTTCTGTACAATAAAATTAAAACTAGTTTGTTCCACAGAACTATTACTGTGCAGCTACTGCAGCTGAATCACATACAGCTGAACTAGCATCTCTCCAAAAAACTCCAGCCAGGCTGCAGAGCATGCAATTGCTGTAGCTAGTAAAAGAAGCTGCTCCTTCTGACAGCCATCAGATTGTTACAAGGTCCTCCTTCAGCAGAGAGGAAGGCATCGTCCTCTCACACTCACTTGGCAAGAATCCAGTCTTAGAGAACATCCTTGTGTTGTAAGGGATCCCAGGTGCCATTTGGTATACTAGTGTCCCTGTTGTATACTCTTATCTTCAGTTTATAATTATGAGGCTAAACACAGAATTAAACTCTGCACTGTATTCATCTATATGTACTATATATGCAACTTCAAAAGAAGTCTAGGTTTCAGGGAACTGAACAAATGGGAGAGAAAATGAGTACTTTGGAAATTCAGAAATATACAACTTTATTAAAATTATTTATAATTGATTTCTTAAAATCCAATTAAATATAGCTTCTAGAAATAAAGTACTTGCACGTCTCATTGTCAGATTTTAAAATTTAACATAAACGTAGAACCACGCAATGTACGAAGCCAAGGAAAACAAAGCAAATGGCTCCTGATTATTTTTCAAGAGGAGTTGGCTAACAGAAACCTCTAAGATTACACATCACTACAAAGTTATAATTTAAAGCCAAAAGTAAACTAAAGATTTTCTCTTAATTTCAATAATTACTCCATTAAGTCAGTGCTCCAATTTCTTTCTCTAATCTTTGATAGCTACAGGACGGGGTCCTGGATTATTCACAACAAAAGAGTAACTGATGAAAAGATTATAGGTTTTCCTCTCTTTTATTATGTGTCAGTTCATGAGTTTACATACAGAAGGGTAGAAAGCTAAATAGGTACTAGAACTCCTCTGATATAGAAAAAGATAAAACAAAGTCTATAGCAAAGATTCATGAAACAAATCTGCTCTTATTCAGTTTCTTAAAATGTACTGATTGCTGTTTTCCTTTATCTACTAAATTCATATTTCCACATATCAACTTAGTCACTAATAACAACTTATTGATTTTTCTTCAGATTTCTTAGGAACAAGCTTTTTGTCCTTTCAGTTAAATGAACTCAACAAGTTTCCAATAAAGTTATTGCAAACCCAAGTTCAAAACTAAAAACCTCTATTCATGCTGAATGAGGTTAAGTGGCACTCTCATGCTTGGTCTTCTGATGGAAATTACAGAAGTTAGAAAAGAAAAAAATGGGAGGGAAAGATTGTGGAACCCTAAAACAACAAAAACCTCATTCCTAAAGCTATGAAGTAAGAACATCATTATGCCCATCTGATGGAGTGACAGCCATATTATTATCATACAGCCGTTCCAAGGAACAAACCAGGTGTTTCCTACTGGCAATTCAAACCTATCTAGTTGCTAGCTCTGGAGCAGACAACTACAATTTCTATGGGTCGGACTCTGTATGAAAATAGAGAATTCCATGGAGGCCTTTCTTCAAAGTCCCAGTAAAGTTGTTCTGAAAATTCTACAAAACCTTATAAGCTGTACTCCTTAAACCATCTTCACAGGTAATTGATAGTTTTGAGCATCAAAAACTGAAAAGACTGGAAATTAACTGACTTAATAGCAAATGTTACATGGACAGACACAATAATTATAATGGTGCATAGTCAAACAAGAAATCAACACTATTTTTAAAATAATAAATGTTATTTTGCTATTGCAAAACAACTGTGTATTTCACGACAGAAATACAATATTTCAGATCTAAAAATTCAGGAATCTTTACAAATGGAACCTATTAAGTACTAATTAAAGTAAAAAAAGATGTTTCTCAAAACTTTGTTTCAATTCAAATTTTGAAACTCATGCTCAAAATCAGTGTAACTGTAAAGTGTGCTAAATTTTTTATTTTTATGACAAGTGAGCCCAGTATATAAAATTACTTCAGTTACTAAACTAAAAAAACAACAGATTTTCTAATAGTGAAGAATGAAAGAAAAATACCACTGCTTTATGTGCATCATATTCTAATCAGATTAAAGTCCCTGCAATAAGTTTTAATAACATTTTCAGAGGTAGTTTATTAATAGATGAGTCACTTTCATAGCATATTCCAACAACATAGCAACCAGGCACTCACACATGCTTGTGTGTTTTTGCAAAACAGCTGAAAAGCAACATTGTTGGCATTGAAACTTTGCAGTTTTAAGAGCGCGCTATGTATGCTATAGGAAAGGTTGTTTGGGTTTTTTCTTTGTCTTGAAACTGAAACATTTTATTTATAGAAAACATGTAACAGTGCTGGGGCAAAGCAGTTATTTTTTTTCCTAGATTATCAATTCACCAAAACATGTTCACACTGGCATTAACAGTTGTATATTGTGTATTGGCTGTGGGGTTTATTATATAGGACAGTAATTACATTCAGTAAACAGGCAAAGTGGGTAACACTAAGGTAACATCAATTTTACTGGTGAGGAAAAGAATACCAAACCACCATATTCAGCATTCAAATGAGGTGTTTTTCTACCAGTTAACAAAAATCAATTTGACTCAGTATCCCCCTTTTCTTTTTTTTAATCACTTGATTGTAATTGTAAAAGTTCCCATCTGTTTAGATATAGTACCATAGTCTGACTGTTTGTATAACAAAAGGATATACCAAGAATTCACAGACATCTTCCCTGGAGTAGAGTTACTGAAGCAGTAACATGGAAGACAATGGAGCAGAAAACAGAAGTACCTGCTTTTACTACACGATGCATCTACAAACTGATCTGAGTCTGGCTGGAAATACATTTCTTACTAGGTATGTTGGTAGGTAACTGTTAACTTTTTTTGCCCTTTGGTGATACAACACCACTGATGACACATGATGCTACACTAGCTTAGGCAGTCATGAGGAATGGTACCGGTGGCGCAGGAAATTCAGGAAAGGCAAAGCCTGCGCTCAGAGAACCTAAAGTTCAAGCTTTCTCTCCCTGTGAATTCTGCATAAGAGTGAAGCTATGATTTCATTTAAAATGCAGTATAGATGTAACTACAACAGAGGTAGTCACCAAAAACCAGCTTACTCTCATACTGAATGCAACCAATGCCTGGTGTAGTCAAAAAGGAATATGGTTATCTGCAACAAGCTTTGGCAAAATATTTCACAGCAGAGGTGTTCATGTACATCATAATAGTCACCCAATATCACTTAGCATCCTGGCTGCAACTCTGGAGGTTATATTCAGAATATTTGCAATACTTTAGCAAATACAGAATTCAAATTATCTGACATAAAAGATTTCAAGAAAATATTATTAATTTGAATACAAGTAAATTGGCTCATACTAAAGAAGTTAAAACACTCACTGTAAAATTCTGATTGAAGTTCTGGTTGTAACCTGATGGATAAAATTCAGGTGCTTTAGCAGACAAGTTTGATGTTGCTACAGGATCCACAGCTAACTGAGGTTCAGTCATTTCTGGTCCAGAATCAAGAACTGAAACTTTGTCTTGAGATCCAGATGGAATTCCCGTCCTTTGCAGGTGTTCTGAAAAATTTTTGTTAACAGCTTGTCTTAAAAATCACTAAATTAGTATGTATTCACACAGAGTAAACACAGAAAATATAAATATAAATATATATATATTTTTTAAACTTAAAGTATGGTTTTTCTATAAATATACTTCCTTTAAATACATAGGTTTTTTTGCTTATTCTTAGGTGTGGATATTCATTTAAGCACACTCCACATGTCTTTCTACATGATGGAAAGTAAACAGTGGTCTTGTGCAGATGAACAAAAACGGAAGAAGGGAAAAAACCTTTATTTTCCGTGTAAACACATTATCTAAGTTAACCTATGCAACTAGTAAATCTGCTTATCTGATTATCCTGTGATTTTTCATTGATTTCAGATACAGATACAAGATACATTTGGAAGGTCAATAAATGACAGACATCACTGATTTTGACCAACACTTATTTTCAACAAAATGCTGAAAGGACACTTGGCTATTCTTGTTCTTATATACCATGTGCCACAACATCCAACTGAAGTGTTTTTAAAACACTATTTTCCAAACCACTCTTTACAGACTAGCTCATAAGCTTATTGAAAACAGAACCTGATACCTACCTGAAAAAGCTGACCAACAAACATCGCTTTGTGTTACTGTTGGGTTGGGTTTATTTTTTTGCAAATAGACTGGAATTCTTCAGTGGGGGAAGGCTGAGACCATCTGCAGTCAGATTAACAGATGGATAAAAAAGTACACTCAGATGTGGGAGCACAAAAGAGGGGAAAGGACAGAGAGTATTGCAAGCAGCTGCAATACAACATCCTTTACCTTTACCTGGTCCAGGTCCATAACCCAGTGTGCTGGTTTCAGCTGGGATAGAGTTAATTTTCTTCTTGCTAGCTAGTACAGCATTGTGTTTTGGATTCAGTATGAGGCAAGTGTCGATAACACGGGTTTCCCATGCTGTGATGGTGAGCATGGGAAACCCCAAGAAGCAGGGAGGCAGCAAAGACTGGACAGCTGACCCGAACTGGTCAAAGGGATAATCCGTACCACTGAATGTGACATTCAGTATATAAACCAGGGGGGGAGTTGGCCAGGAGTCGTCAATTGTTGCTGAGGGACAGGCTGGGTATCGGCCAGCAGGTGCTGAGCTGACTGCACAGTGCATCACATGATTCTCTTTGGTTTTGTTCCTCTTACCCCTCCCTAGTCACCCAGGTGTCCGCCGGCCCCAGGGCTCACCAGGCTGACCCGGCCTCAGCGCGGTGCCCGCATCGCACCCCCGGGAACGGGACCACGCTCCCGAGGGCGGGTGCCGGTGCCCCTGCGGCCGGCGGGGAGCTGCGCAGGTGCCCCGCGAAAAGAAAGAGCGGGGAGAGCAGCCCGTACCTGCCATTCCGGTGCCCAGGGGCGCCGTCTTCGGAGGCCGCAATGGTTCCTGCTGCGGGAAGAGGCCGCCCGGCTGGTGCTGCTGCTCCTCAGCCGAGCCCGAGCCGCGGGACGCGCTGCCCGCGGGCCGGGCCCCGCCGCCGCTCTCCGGCGCGCCGCACCCGCGGCCCCGGCCGGCACCCGGCGCTCGGTCGAAACTCTCCGACATGCTGAGGCCGGGCGGCTCGGGCGCTCATGGGAGGGAGGGGCGCCGCGGAGCGGAGCGGAGCGGGCGGGCCGCGGGAGGCGGGCGGAACGCGGGCCCGCCCCGGCCTCGCACTTTCGGTTTCACCCAGCGCAGCGTCACGATGGCCGCGCCCGCCCCGAGCCGCGGCAGCCTGGAAACAGCGTTTCCAAAGGCACCGTATTCCCTGCGACTGCATCTCCACGGTAACGAGCGGGGCGAGGTGACCGGGGCAGGGCCAAGGCTTCAGCTACAACAGGAGAGACCTGCAGCCACAGGTGCATCACGCCACGCTGTGCATACACGGATGTTTACACCAGAGAGGGATGGAAAAGCTACAGGCGAAATTTTAAATTTAACCCCATAAAGTTAGGCCTCCAACACGACCATATTATTGTACGGTTAAGGCTATTTAATGAAACGATGGTGGTTCAGAAAAAATATATTCTCATTTATAATTTATGCATGATGTGATAACAAATGCTCTTCTGATTTAATGTTTAACAACCACCTTCCACACCAATAGGAACCAACTGAAGAACATGGTTCATGTAATGCATTTTTCCTAATATTGTTACATAAACTGAGAACGGTTCAACTCACATGTCCATTTACAATTTAATTAATCTACTCTTCTTCAATTTAATTCCAAAGTCTTTCTCTCGTTGTTTTGCAAACTCTGTATCGCAATCAGCTTTCAAGATGGGGAGGGCAAGTGTAATCTGGTGTGCCACAAATCCACCTCAGCTGATCATGCTGAGGGAGTTTATACTTTGTCTCCCTGAATAGTCTGGTCTGTGCTGTCCTTGCCACTTGTTCCTGCCACAAAAAAAATCCAAAGATTGTGTGGCACTGGTTCCCGCTCTGTTCACCACTATGAAGGGGTGAAAAAAATAGGCGAGTATGTATGAAACATTATTAAAATATTACAATAGTGCTGTCTTGTATTTAAAAAAATCCAATTGGATTGTAAAATGGTGTCTTTAGAAGTCAGGTTCCTATTGGGTTTATTATTACATGTTACCATTTTCAATTATTAACAGGGGAGGGGCAGGGTATAAAATATTTGTTAGCTCCCCAAGGCATGAATTGGACTGATTTTTGCCAAGATAAAAAGATGGCCAGACATTAAAGGTGTCACAAGTTAAAATTAATGAGGCTCATGGGGAAACTGTTCCTAGGCAACCCTTCTGGAAATACAGAATGGTAAACTAATAAATCTGTACTCTGCAACTGGAATGTGAGCCAATGCAGGATGTTTTGAATGAGTCTTAAAAAACCATTATAATACTTCACTTGTGTAAACCATTGTCAAAACTAATTTAAGCAGCATTACCAATTCTTTAAAGATTACAAATTAGCTACTAAATTTCTCCATTAAAAATATTCAGTGTTCTTATGTTATCAGCACCAGTTTTAATGCCTATATTGTGACCTCTGTCCACATCTGTAGACTTTGCCTTGCCAGGAGGAGAATGAAAAGCTTACATTGATGTGAAGAAAAATTAAAATCTCCATCATTATATTCTAATGGAGAATATGCCAATTTTGAATATGCCAATCTTTCAAGTTAGCAAATCTCAGTTTTTAAAGTTTACACCTAAGAGGAATTGAGTGCCTTAAGTTATGGAACAAGACAAGTTTTCACCTTTGGACATAAATGTGAATTCTTTTCACATAGCAGACATTTTATGTTATATTAATTTAATAACCGTTTGGCAACTGCTTACCATTTAAAGTGGAATGTGATCCCAAATCCATATTTTTCTTAGAGATGCACTACTTAAGTTTGCATGAATGCCGTTGAGTTTGGTTGGGAACCCAATTTCCTCTCCCCAGTGTAGACACCTAAAACAAAATTTAGAAAAATAATCAGGTAGTTAATTCCAAAATAACAAGCCCCAAATACTGCCCTCAACAGCACACCCCTTTAGACTGCTTAACATTATGCTTAGAAGGCTTTGGCCTGAGTAACTGAAGTCCTGTGAATTACTTCAAGCCTTGGAGTCCACACAGCAGAACCCCTGAGATCACTAAACTAGACAGACCTAACCTAAGCACCCAATGACTGTATTAAAACTTTCACCACACACAATTATGAACACTTCCAGGCAGTCACTAGGAGATACCTGCTTTGTCCTAAGTGTACTACCAAATAATTTAAAACGTAGCTAAGAACCAAATCCATACACACCTTCAGTGCCTGGTGCCAAGAAGTCACACACCATAACCTCATCACTATTCATAACACAGGCATTTTTATTTGGTCTACTTTTTTTATAATGCTGATAATGTATTTCTAATTAGAAAAAAAGGAGAAGGCAGGCTCTAGCTTTTGAACTGTAATTTATTGTTACTAGCCGGAATTATTCCAATTGCTTCCATACTAATAAGGCATGTTTTTGTAGGAGTCAGTGGTTATTGAGCCCAAAACATAAACCACAGGCATAATCTGTAGCTCTAAAGCTTTACAGATTTCACACAAGCTTATTTAAAAGCACAAAAGTAATGAACGTTTATTAGTAGAAAATCCTATTAATTATTTTCAGGATAACTCTCATGTTTTCAGTGCTTTACTTCACTTACTAAGTCACCATTTACAAGTCTGGAAGCTGTGTCATCTCCAGCAACATGTAGTTTGCATGAGCAGCTACACAGACTTCAGTAAATTAAAAAAAAAACAAACAAGCAAACCAAAATACGCCTCATACACGTATTGGAATATGAATCCCAATATTACCAGGTAGATTGTGCCTGGGCCAGTCTGACCCTTGCTGCTAGGCCAAAGGCAGCAACTGTGGTGTATCACCCTAGAGATACCTTTAGCTTGCTGGAGATTGCAGCTGGGCACTGAAACAAGTCCAGGCTTGGTAGGAACTCCGTTTACCTCAGGAGGGAAGGCTTCAGGCTAATGGTGAGGAAGAAGGAGACGGATTCTGCCGGAGGGTTATATCCAGAGCTTTATTCCTTGGTCACAGAGGTCTGAATCACAGGCAACAGCTCCAACAGAATTGCGAGCACATGGTCTGATTACCCTTTTAAGCTCCCGGGAGAGGGGGAGGGAAGGGGCAGGTGAGCTACCAACCAGGTGGGAGGGGCAGGGTCTCAGGGGTCTCAGACAGGCCAATGACCTCTGGGCATAGGGGAATCTTTTGAACTTGACCAACCACACGAAGACCTTCCTGGAATGTTAAGCCTGATTGACAGGACTCACTCAGCAAGGGGGCGAGGGGGAAGGGAGAGAGGTATAGGCACACCTGGGAGGTGACCTGGAAGTCTAAAGCAGGACATTACAACACACCGCAACATACACGGAACCCACAGATCATGTGAAGTGAGACAACATATGCAGGCCTATGTGAAGACAATGCATGGAGGCAATGGGCAGCGTGGCTGGCTGTCCTCTGGAACTGCCTCTCCATCCCCATGTACTCTTCATCCAGCCATGTATTATTTCAACAGCTATAGAATCACAGAATCGATTAAGTTGGAAAACACTGCTGAGGTCATCGAGTCCAGCCTATGACGGAACATCCCAACGACAATCAGACCATGGCACTGAGTGCCACGTCCAGCCTTTCCTTAAACACCCCCAGGGACGGCGACTGCACCACCCCAACATCAAACCACCCTTTCTGTGAAGAATTTCCTCCTAATGCCCAAAGATGACACAGCTCCGCGTTTTCTGTTCCCGTACGGCGCCTACCACTCCGACACCTCGCTGCTTTATCGTGCATTTTAAGAAGTAACAATAACGAAGAGGACACCACTTACGTGCTATGGCGTTAGCCCCACGTCCAACACGCGCGTTTCGGCACGTCTCCTCGCCAGCCCCGACCTTTGCCTCGGCGCCGCGGCCAGCCGGGCACGCTTATCCCGCTCTGCCACCGCCGGCGCCGCGGGCTCGGCCAGCACCGCGGCAGCCCCGCGCCACCGCCCCTCAGACGCCGCGTGACGCGGCCGCCCGACCCCCGCGTGCCCCTCAGTCCTTCCGGGTTGGCGGGCACGGGTCCGCCCCCGCCCCGCCCCAAGGTCGGTGGGAGCCGCGGCGGCGGCACCGCGGGTGTGCGCGCGGCGTCGTGCGGGGCTGCCGCGGTGCGTGAGTGCGGCGGTGCGCGAGTGCGGCGGTGCGCGAGTGCGGCGGTGCGCGAGAGCGGCGGTGCGCGGAGCTCTCTGGAGGCCCGTGGAGCGGGGCTGTGCGGGCTCGGTGGGGGGCTACGGGAGGAGCGTGTGCGGGGCTCCGTGCGGGGCGTGTGCGCCGCGTCGTGAGGGGCTGCGCCGGCACCGCCTTATTCTCCTGGTGCGTGTGGGGGCCAGCCGCTGCTGGGGAGAAGGTACAGCGGCGCCACGCTGTCGCGGGGGAGGGAGGGAGGGAGGGAGCGAGCGTGGCGGGATGGGCGTGCGGGAGGAGGCAGGTGGTCCGGGAAGGGGCCTCCGGGAGCGGGGAGGTGGCGGCTGCGGGGTGTCCCCCGAGCGGGGACGGTGCATGGCGGGGGACGAGCCGCCCGCCCAAGGTCATTCGGTGGCCGCGGGCTATAAATAGTGACGGGAGAGAAAAGGGGCCGCTGCTGGGGGGCCCGGCGGGATTCCGGGCGAAGAGCGCATTCCCGGCTCCCCTGCCCGCAGCCCGGGGTGTCCTGCCCCAAGTGCGTGCTCTGCTGCGCCTCCCAAGCAGTGTCCCACCCTGGGTGACTCCTGAGGGAGCTGTGGCACGGATTGGAGTCGTTTGTTTGGTGCCTTGGGGCGCCGCGCTTTTCCCGTACCAAAGTTCCCGTTTTAAAGCAGCGGTGTAAAGAGAAAATGGCCTTGAGTCGCAGAAATGCGATCCCGGGTCGCGGCTGGTCGCGCCAGTTGCTTTGGTTAAGAGCTGTCTTACTTAATTTGGAAAAAAAAAAAAGTGTTTTTTTTTCTAGCCTGAAAGATAAAGGTGGTGAGGAATGATTGTCTCGTGCTACTGGCAGTCGACTGGTTCTAAACCTGCTGCGTTTACATGCCTTGTGTGCAGTGTCATTAATAACTCTTGATTTGTTTTCACATTTGCTGTAGGGGTTCCATACGTGGCAAGGAATTTGTTGTGAGGTCTGGGTGCAATGGCGAGCCTTCTGCGTGTTGCTGTGGGTGGATGCTCAGCTCCTGTTTTTGGCAATGTGCTCCCGTCGAAGGCGCGATCTGCAAAGGTGCTTTGCTTGCGAATGTTTAGAACCCACCAGGTGCTTGGGTCTCAGGCAGCTCCAAAGCCAGGTAAATTGATTAAAGGACTGTAAGCAATGTTTTATTTTAAAACATGAATTTAAATGGTTTCTTTCTTTTTTCTTTCTTTCAGATCTGCATTAGTACAGAAAAGACTTAAAATAGAAAGAACACTCTTAAATCATGTCAGCAGCGTACTTGAGTCAGTTGCAGCACAATTTTAGTCTGGCTTTATAGGGCTTACGCAGAAGGTGTTTGTGTTTATTATGAATACTTTGGATCCACGTAGTTTTTGTGGTTAGAGGGTTTGGGCTCCTGCTAATACTTTCCTTGCTTGAAGGAAGTATTTAAATAAATGCTTTTCTTAGTTCAAATCCTGAGTTCCTAATTAGTTTTGGTAGTGCAGCTATTTGCATGCATGTGAGAAAATATAGACCTCACAAAGACAACATCTGCTAGCATGAGTATATGCAGACATTATTATCCGATCTTAAAAAAACCTCTTAACTTTGTTTAGGAAACACATTGTATCACTTTGAAAAACTATTGATATGTATCTTCACGTGTAGGGTTTGTTAGTGTATTTGCAAAAAATTGCATTTCGGCAGATAATGGACAAGTTCTGGTATTTTCAGAAAAAAAAAACCTGGGAAAGGAGGCACTCTTATTTCCAGTTTCTGCTATGATCCTGGTACATGAATATCAGAACTGACAATTTTTTTCTCTATTCTGTACTGTATATAACCTGAGAGTTGGAAGGAAGACTGAAGAAGACCCTAGTGCAGATTTAATGCCCATTATTGCCCATTATTACTGATTGGGTTGTGTGTCCCTTGCAGAGACCCTGTTTCTGTGCAGATGTAGGATCTTAGTCTTTGCAAAAAATTAATGTGGAGAGTTGGACTGATTGCACACATGACATTTGGTTCTTCCAAATGTACACAGTAGGTGACTGCAATAGGTACTTGAGAGTGTGAGGAAAGTAGTGCTGCTGGAAACAGAAGTGTCTCCTAGTGAAAACATGACACAAAAGTAACAGGTAGTAGTTCAGAGAAGCCTGTGTTGTGTAGAATTTGTGGCAGTACTAACAGAAAATGGTGCATTTTGTGGTCCTTTCAACTTGGTGACTGAAGATTTTGGAACTTCTGAAGAAATGTCATGAGGGGAAGTTTCTTTACTCTGAGGGCTTCTGATAAATCTGTATCGCAGTTGTGTCCTGAAACCAGAATGTCTGTGATAGATTTGAGATGCTCTCAATTTTTTTTCCATGTTAAATATCAGAATGAAAGAGACATCTGTCAGTCTTCATATGGCAGATTGTCCCTTGGTTGGGAGCATAAACTGGAACATAGGAAACTAGGTTCAAAGTTCTTTTCCAAATACCCCAGGTAAGTGCCCTTTTTTGAGTTTGGAATCAATTTTGTATTTGGCTTTGACCACAAATTTCATCATGAAACTAAAGAGTCTCTTCTATTTTACTGAAATTGGTATGCTACTCTGTGTGTGTGAATTTTCTCATTTTTAAGAATAACTTTTGAAAAATTTTCCCACAAGAATGGAGAATTCTGATTAGTGTCATGTTTAATGCTCAGTGCTGCCCTGTCAAATCTGTTGTGTGGAAGCCCTTATGTAAGGATTAGTAGTATTCATGAAATGCAGTTATTTAATGTGGAGAATTACAAGTTTGGTAGTCTTTTGGTTGATAATTAAGCTGTCCGTGTAGTATGCTTTGGTAACATGTGATTTGTCATTTGCTAGAGGACAAATCAAGGAGAAAACAGCAATTTAATGACAAATTAGAAGCAGGGCTATTGCTTATATTTACTTTTTAAGTGCTCTTGAATCAAAATGGAACAGATTCAAAAGAACTGTGTTTTAGTCTTTCAGAAATTAGCTTTGATTATTGTAACACTTGGTAAAATCACTGTATTAGTAAGAAGAGTAAATTTTCTGAAAAGACTAGTGTCACAGTGATTCTTCTTAAGGCTGTAGTTATTACTTAGTCAGGTCAGCTTTCATTCCATCCAGGCTATGTTATGTGAAAGAGCAATAGCTGCTTGAGGAGAAGAAATATGGAGATACAGAGTCAGCTGAAAAGTGAACTTGGAGCATGGATAATTTTCTTACTGCCAGCTCTTGTGCTGCTACTTGCTTAATAGAACTATAGGAACTTTCATACAGATGTAAACAAGTATTCCCATAATCTGTGCCAGGTAGTCACTAGGACCAGTTACTTCAGAAACAGAGACAAAACTTTCTGAAGCCCTGGGAAAGGTGCACGTGGAGTGACTGAGCTTCCCAGTATACTCCCACATTAGTTTGTCCTACAGCTCTATGACTTTTACCCCTCTCTATTTTGGGATTTTAAATATCCTTTTTATTTTGAGGCTTATTTCTTAAATTTTCCTGCTTTTTTCTAAACCTGTAGCAGTTAATTTTTAATTAGTTCTCTAGGTAAGCTTTATTTTATTTATAAACAAAGAAATATTCTCCTTTAATTTCCCTTTTAAAAAAAAATCCTTATTTATGTAATAGGAGGGATCTGGTGTTCGTTTAATCTTCTGTATCGTTTTTTTTCTTTTTGCCAACGTCATATTGCTGTTCTTCGGAATATGTCCTCATCTCCAGGACAGGTGAGATGGTTTGTTTAAAGGTTATTCGAGTAACACTGAAAATAGGCATCCTGTTTTCAATCCCAGAACATGTGGCATATAGTCAAAACCTCTCCTTTATCTTTTCCCTAAGTCACTTTCTATTGGTTGATCCTGTTTTGTTGCAGACTAATTTCCAAAGTCAGGTTAAGGAGATCAAAAGACTGTATTTCCTGCTATAGGTTTGACTTATAATCTTCTCTAAGATTCTTGTAGATAGAAGTTACGTGGAGAAAGTCACAGTTATAGTTTTGTTTACTTGAAGTTTGACAATGTCTGCATTACACAGTTAGGATTGTAGTAAGGGAATGAAAGAGTGGCTTCTTGCTAGTTTTTTGAAGTTCTAAGTTATGTATGTGCCAGAGCATTTCACTGGAATGTATATTCCAAGACCTGTAAAATGTAATGATTCTACTTCTGATAGTGGGAGAATCTAAGTACTGTGTATCTTCTACTCTTTAAAAACTTAATGAGTCAAAAAGGTGCTCCAGGTATGTAATATCACTCAGTATTTGGAAGATGTCCATGATGTCGTAAAGCAGCACTAAAACATACTCAAGGCAGTACTTAAAGAGATTACCTGACATGAAGGATTAGAGAGACAATTTGTAGGCTTCACATTCTAACGTGACTTTGAACCCCTGACAGGGATAGCAGATGGGCTTCCTCAAAATAAAAACTAAATCAAGGTCCTAAGTTTATAACCCTAGTTTTCAACCTTTCAAAACTATTGACTTTGATGAAATTGCTGAATCCAAAACCAACAAACCAAATCTGTGTTAATCACAAAGCTTCCTCCAGCTCAAATATTGATCATACGCTGTTGTGTATGTCCGCACAGACAGGCAGGTGGGACAGCCATAAAGTCATGTCTAGAATCCAAAGGGTAAATTTATAATTTATTTCCATTACTTTGCTAACAGGATATTGCTGAAGCACCACCTGGGCAGAGGAAAACAAGCAGGGACACTGGCACCAGTAAATCATCACAGACCTGCTGTTCACATAGGCTTATCAAGAGTTATTTCCAGCTGAAAGTGAGCTTTGCAATCCTCTGTGCCAGTGTTCCACTTTTTAATGCTT